TCGTGTTCTAGAAAGAAAACCGAAGTACTTTAGTATAGAGATTAATGGAAAGGAAGTGACAGTCAGTATTGATAGATTGAAACCGGCTTACCTGGTAGAAGATAGCTTACCATTACCTAGTCAAGCCAGTCCGGTGACCACATTGCCTGGAACTGCCTCTGAAAAAAAGACGAGTAGTGGAAGAGTAGTAAGATTTCCAGACTACTATCGCCCGTGAAACGGTCTCAGCGGGGGAGTGATGTAGCTAGACTTCGCACATTCGCGGAACATTTTACTCTTCTGACACAACTGTGACAAGGAGTTGTCATTCGCTCGAAATTGTTGCTTCGTATAACTTTTACCAGAAAAATAATTGATATTCTTAAAGTAATCGTGCTGTGTTGTACCTAATTGAAAACTGTATTAATTCCCTAGCAATAGTGTGTAACTGTACCGTGCATAACTTTCTTAAGTATGTAGAATATACTGGACGTACATCATAAATAATTTATTGTTTTATTAAGAGTCCAATTCAATTCATTCTACTACACTTTATTACTATAACCTTTTGGAACTTTTAAATAAATGCATTCCTTCAAATCTCCATTTAAAAAGGCTGTTTTAATATCAAATTGTTTCATTTTGAATTTTTTATTTGCAACAATTGACAAAAGTACTCTCAAGGAATTTGTGTTTACAACAGGACTATATGTTTCATCATAATCTATTTTATATTTCTGTTGAAATCCTCTTGCGACTAATCTTGCTTTGTATCTACCATCCGGTTTCATCGTAAAAATCCATTTGCTTGTTACTAATTTTCTTCCTCCTGCTTCTTTTTTATCCACGAATGTTCACGTATTATTGTCTTCCAAAGACTTGATTTCTTCCTCTATTGCTTTTTTACATTTATCTTTTTCTCTTGATTCTAAAGCCTCCTCATACGTTAACATAGACGTTTCCATTCCATATTCCATTATATAATCTTTGTATCTTTCTGGTAATCTTCTATCTCTTTCAGGTTGTTTTCTTCTACTATTATTTTCCACCGCTCGACTTCCCTCAATTTCTTCACAACTTTTTTTATTTTCTGCTTTAGTCTTTACATTACTTTCGACTTTGATCTTCTTCATTATTTACTTCCTCTCGACTCCAATTTTCTTCCATTTGTTCATTATCAAAAACTTCATTTTCTTCATGTTGTATAACGTTATCAACATTAAAACCACTTTCAAAACTATTGCAATTATTCACATTTTTTTCTATTTACTTCATTTATTCGACCATTATTTGTTTCACCATTATTTGTTCTGTCTTCATTTGTTCGATTGTCATTTGTTTCACCATATTTTCTTCTATCTTCACTTGTTTGACTATCATTTGTTTCTCTAGAAATTCTACCTCTCCTATCTTCAACTCCTCAACACTCTTCGTTGCTTTCTGTTGAATTTTGACTTATTTCATCTTCTTCTGTTTGCTCATCTTCATCCATCTGCCAGAGTCCATTTATTTTAACCATATTTTCTTCATCATCTAAATATATACCTTGTTCTTCTTCATTTATCCTTACATCCCTTGCTCTTATTATTCGTTTCTCGATATCCACCTAAATTTTATAGCCGTTTCTAATATAGCCGATGAGTATTCCTTTGCTGCATCTTTCATCAAGTTTTCGTTCTCCAATTTTTATAATTACTCTGATCTTTCAATTTATTAATATTCTCCATGATCAATAAAACTAAACTGTTTCTAATAAATTTAAATATTACCGACTTTGTTTTTAACAAACATCCGTTGCTATGCTTATCATTCGTTGCTATGCTTATCCGGACACTGGCATATCGATTTTTTCAACACAATAAACACTGTATTTTTATTTTATTTTATCTTCATCCGGCCTCTCTTTAAGGGCCCATAACCTAATACCCGATGGTAAAAAGGGTATAGAGAAAGACCAGGGAGCTTTTAGATCACCTGAGTTTATTTACCACCAAAAATATATACTTTATAAAATATAAACAGCACCGACAATAGCTTTACGAAGAGTTACTTTCAATATATAATAACAATAGACGCGCATGTGCAGAATAGATTGTCAAAATGTCAATATTTAAATTATTTAAAAAGATCTTAAACCAAGAAGCTCTCCCTCAACACAAAAGTTTTGCAGTGGCCAAATCTCATACGGCAAATGGTGGTAATTAGATTGCGGTTTATAGATCCTTTAAGTTTTGATGGATGGTACCACGGACGAGCGGGCAATGTCTTCTGTATGTCGTGGTACCATTTCCCCTTTTCTAATGCAATTGTATGCCAATAGTTGGTCCACAACATTTTGTGGGATTCTGTTAGGTAGGTGTTAAAGTCGGTGTACGGTACTGATATCTGACTGTGGTCTTCATCAGGCCTATTTCTGGTGACTTCATCTACGATTTCGTTCCCAGTGATGCCATGGTGTGATGGTACCCACAGAAACTTGACACTTATTCCCTTATTTTGTAATATATATAGTTGGTTTTTTATGTACAAAATTAAATAGTTAATGTTATTTTTAAATACCTTACTTTCTAAACTATTTAGGACACTCATTGAGTCTGTTATAATAATAAAATTCTTATTTTCTACAATATTATCTATATATAAAATTGCTTGCTCATCCTTCCATCCAAATTAAGAAAATAAAAAAATATTTTAAACATAGGTAGATTTGAGGCTTAGGTTGGTAGACAGACAGATTGAGGGCAAAGTAGGTAGATCTACTTAAAATTTGGGAGATCTGGCAACACCGATGCACATGCTAGTGATAGTGATTCAAAGTTATCGATAATTCATTATTTGAAAACATTTACTTATCTATTTCTTTTTGTCTATTTCAGGATGTCATGGCATCTAAGAAAAAAAGTTAAGTCTGGAAGTTTTACGAAAAAAAAGATGACAATAAATCTAAATGTAAGCTATGTCAAAAAAAAAATATCAAGACTGCTGGAAATAAAATAACTTGATTAGGCATATTCGTAATGTCCACAAGGATGCTTATACGGAAATCGCTTCATTTCAAAATAATACATAGTTGGACAATAAATATGAGGCTGTTTCAGAAACTTTCAGAAAAAAGTTGTCTACAATATCAGACGTAACCTTGACAACAGATATTTGGTTTGATACATTAAATATGAAGAGTTTAATAGGTGTAACTGTTCATTTCGGCATAGATATTGAATTCATTTCAGTTACTCTCGACGTATACGAGCTTGATGAAAGACATACGTCACTGTATATTTCGGAAATGCTTTTAAGAACTTGCGCAGAATAGGGTATTAATAAAGATAATGTGACAGCTGTTGTTACCGATAATGCAGCCAATATGTTTAAAGCTATACAAATGGCGTTTGGTAAGAAGAAACACATTGTAACTTGGTTTAAACAAAGTTGCATAGTTAGTGACGAATTGCACAAAGCTACTTCCGCTGAGACAAAGCTAATACAAAGCGTGCCTACGCGCTGGAATAGCACTTAATACATGGTGCAAAGATTTCTGGAACTTCGGACTGTTATAAATGATATTCTTTTTCGGCACGCCATCGCACCAATGCTTAGTGGTTCAGAAATATCCATTCTCCCGTCCTTTTGATATTGGGGCCTTTACAAAAGAAATTTCAAATTTCTGGAGATAAATATTGCACAACTAGTAAAATTTTACCTTTAGTTCGTTGCATATTTTCTAAAATCACTTCAACTGCCTTAGAAGAACCTGTGGCAAAAGAAGTGCAGAAACTGGTTCTGCACGAAATGAGAAAAAGAATAAGACATGTGACTGCTATCGCATGCATTTTAGACCCTCGATTAAAAAAAAAATATTTTGGCAATGCAATAGCTTGCAGCAATAGTGTATCGAAAATCAATGATTTAATGAAAATTTATTTGCGTCAAAATGAAGATCGTGCCCGACTTCGACATGTCTGGTGAAAGTGAAGAGATCTTTTCTTTATGGAGTGACCATCACAAACTGGTACAACGCAATTGGAAGAGTACCAAAATTGAAGACAGCTTGTCTGATGAACTATCTGTTTACCTGACAACTCCTGTTGGAAGACTTAACGATAATCCAATGGAAATTTGGAAAGACTACAAAATGCAGTTTCCAACGTTGCATAAACTCGCCTATAAATTAAATTTCTAACAAAAGTGGGAACATCGGTTCCATCTGAAAAACTGGCTTCGCAAGCGGCGCAGGTGATCACTCAACAAAGAAACAGATTAAAGGCAAAAGATTAGGCAAACTTTTGTTTCATTTGATATTTAATTAATGTTCAATTTTTTTAATTAATTATAAGGTTTTGTGTCATATAAATGCTTGTTTATTCTTATCTCATCCACATTCATATCAAATTTACAGAAAAAACAATCGCTGTATTGAAAACATCGATGTATTTTTTGATATATCGATATAACATCGATGCAACTAACCAATGTATTGCATCGAAAAACATCGATATTATTTTTCAGTGTCCATCACTGATGTACACCGATCCCTTCCACCCACACAAATAATTTGTAGACTAATGGTGTGCAGAATCAATTGCCATTAATCGATATTTCAAATAATCAGTTGCTATCGATTATGATTTCCTAATCGACGATAAACCATTGATTATTTATCGGACATCCCTATCGCCTTCTCAGTCTGTGTACATCCCTAATGAACTTATCCATTAGAGCGAGAGCGAATGATGAATATTTGTTTTTGTTAAAGTTTGACTTAATAAATCACTAGTTAGCAATTAATAGTAGTCTTAATTTATAAACATCTTTTTTTTTCTATATACATTCTATTTGTATTACTTCTACTTTAACAATGTAATCAGATAGCTCAGAGTTTATATTTATTGATTTATCTATTTCCCCAAAATTCAAAATTGACATATTTTGTGACTGTTTCTTAACGTGTAAAGATCACAAACGTGACATTGGCGGAATTGTGTAAATGCAAATAGGACATGAATTAAAAAAAAGAGAAAGAAGAAGAAGAAGAAGACGGCGTCTGTGTAGATGATAAATAATGGTCGTTTGCAAATTCTTTCAGCAGGGTAACTGCCGCTATGGACAGAATTGTAGATTTGATCATATATACGGTTCTAAATATTCTTATCACGGTAAGTGGTTCTGTAAATTATTTGTTTTTATTTTAATTTCAAAAATATAACCCCACATTATATTGACAATATTTTTCTTAAATATTAATAAAATAATTTGCTTGTATAATATTATACTAATTAATAACATTGGTCTTCATCATTAGCATCTCAACAAAGCCAGCCGGTTTCCAGTGCGGTTACAGATGAGCAGTTAATAAACCAAGTTCAATCTGATCTCCAGGCTGCACTAAAAGGAGGACAGTGGATCTTATCCAGCTATTCACCATTTAAAGAAAAACCCAACTTTCCTGGCATATCCGATTTATCCATGGAAGAGGCTAGGCTATTCATCTATGAGGCTAAAGTAAACAACAATTTGGACCAAGCAGTAAGTATATAACATTCCTGCTCATTATGTCAATATTTTACTGTTGATGCTAAATAAATAATAATATTATTCCAGGTAACTTACATGAATAACTTATTCAAAGAGGCAAGAACTAAATATGAACAGCTATTGCAGCCTAATGCGACAATCATAAAAGTTCTTAGGAGTCTATATAAAGGAGAATTAGTTACATCACCATTTACTAATAATACACAAGGCTCAAGTTTTGTCCCAGATTCATCGGCTTCATCGATATTCCGAAGTGCACTTCACAGTGACTCTGCATTTAGTCAAAACCCAACTAATACTAACACTTCAATCTTTGGACAAAATTCTTCAAGCTCTTCTGTATTTGGACAAAATTTTGTCCAGAATGCTAATGTACCCTCAGTGTTTGAACAAAAACCTAGTTTTGGAACAGATACTGCAAAATCAATATTTTCTCAAGCAACACACAATATTTTCAATCAAAATCAAACTAGTCAAAGTGGTTTTGGAGGTGGTCAACAGACCAATAATGTTTTTGGTCCGAGTCAAACATCCAATATCTTTGATAAACCTGACACAACAGCAAAATCAATTTTTGCCCAGGCCAACCAAAGTGTATTTACTACAAACCAACCTCAAAGCGACCCTACAAGTGTGTTTGCTAGTGCAGCACAATCGGTTTTTGCACCATCCCCTTTTAGTCAGCAACAAGGGAGTTCCCCATTTTTAAATCAACATAATAATTCTTTGTTTTCAAATGCAACACCAAATGTGTTTCAAAGCAATCCATCTTCTAATGATAACAGTGTTTATAGTGATATTAAAGATTTATCTCCTAAAGAAATAGAAATTTTCAAGGCCGCTGAATTTGAATTAGGATTCATACCTGAAATTCCTCCTCCTCATTCTCTTTGTTTTTAAAGCAGTGTTGTTGTGATAGTGGTAGTTCATAGATAGATTTTACTTTTTAATTATAATATAAAAATGACACTGAATAAGGGCTTTAAAGATGTCTAGGATGTATATCTTATTTATTGAATACGTTTTTCCTGATATATATTATGTGACTTATAAGAAACCATTGCTCGAGCAGGTGTCCAGCTGACAGGTGATGAGAGCCACCAACTATCGACTGTTTATTAGAATGGACCATGCACTGTATATACATACAGCCATCTCACAGTATCATCTATAACCCCCCTTTATTTCGCTCCTGCATGGAGCTTGCAGTGTTCCTGTATATATTTGCAGGGGGATGGGTAGTGAAGTGAACAGCTATCTTGAATCTTGAAATAGTAACTAAATGTGAAACGATTGACAATAAAGATGTCAAGTTACGATACAAAAGAAATATCTGTAAAACTATAAAATGTTTTGGGTACATTGAAGGTGCTCTCATAGTATCTATCCCTCAACGGTATTGCGTAAAAATGGCGGGTGTACTCAATCGATAATGTACTAACTATTCAGTCAGTATGCACTGCACTGTCGTACTTCTTGAATCATACTGAAGTCCTATCTTTTGGTAAAATATGATAACAAAGTTGCAGATTGTAGAAATCGTATTTTTTTTGTAGTATTCAGGCGGCTGCTTTGTAAGCTCCATTTAAAATTGAATCCATTTTAAGATACAAAATTGTGATATAACGAAATTGGAAATAAAAATAAGTTACTTTCTGAATTTAATTTAGTTTAATTATAAAAAACCTATATAATGTCGAACATAGAACCTCGAATTCTGTTAAAACGGTTAAAAAGAAGGTCCGCCACATTACCTTTAGATGGCAAGTACGTTTTCCTTGTACTTTTAATTCAATTAAAACATTGAATAATAAACTTAAGGCAACATCTCAAATATCATCTCAAATAGTGGAAATCCGAAATAACGAAGGTGCCACAATACCCAGACGCGAGACAATTCTAATACAGTAGAACTCCAATTATCCGAATTAATGGGGACCGGGACCCATTCGGATAATCAAAAATTCGAATAATCGGATTTTTTTTAAAAAAATTGCCATTGGAGAGAATAAAAGCTACGTTTTGATATTGCACTATTTTTTTATTGAATTAAATGAAAGAAACATGAAATTTTCACATGTTTTAAATATAAATAAAATGTACTTATGTACAAGTTTAGAAATAAAAATCATTGTTTTTTAAACATCTCCGTCAATGTAAGCTGTTTTGCGGTCTTCAACCGTTTTCGGGCAGCCAGGTCACGCATTCGCTTGACGGTGAGCAGTTGCAAGTGGTCACACTCGGGCTGACGCTCCATCCACTTCAAAGCAGTCTCGAGGCCGGCAAATGCTTCACTAGCTGATGGTCCAGCGTCTACTTCAACATCAGCAGAAAGTTCTTCTTCCACTTCCACTTCAACATCTTCTCTCACACTTACAACAATTTCATCGTCATTGAGAATTTGAAAACCAGGGTCAGACGTGTCACAAGCTATCCACTCTCCTACATCTTCAGCACTTACTTCTGTACAACCAGGAATTTTCACAATCATTTTTCTTATTTCCTCTAGTGACAACGCATCTTTATCATCATCATCCTCTCCATATTCTTGTTTCTCATTTTCTTCAGATTCTTTTTTTTGTTCTTCTCAGACGGTAGGCCTTTCAGTTTATTCCACGCACGTCTTAGCGTCACTGCCGTAACCAAACTCCAAGCTTCCGCTACCATGTAACAGCAGTCCTTTAAATTTATTTTGCTATGATTTGCCAAAACCAATTCTTCATCTTCAGCACCTTCGTTCAGCAGTTTTCTCAGCAGTTGCCTTCTGTAATGGCGCTTCATTGTTTCAATAACAGACTGGTCCATGGGTTGTAGCAAACTTGTAACATTGGGAGGCAAAAACGTCGTTTTGAACTGCCCATTCTCTCTTTCCAACAGTTCTGCTGTAGGATGAGTGGGTGCGTTATCAACAATTAAAAGCACCTTACTGCCTTCTTTTCCCACCGATTTTTGGTGCTTTTTCACTTCAGGAATAAACACTTCATCATACCATTCGGTAAACAAAGCTGCAGTCATCCAGGCCTTGGGTTGACTTTTGTAGAAGAGTGGAAGTTTTTTACGTTTTTAAATGCTCTTGGATTTCTTGATTTTCCTATCAAAAGAAGAGGCAGTTTATGATTTCCAGTGGAGTTGGCACAGTTAAGCACTGTAACACGTTCTTTACTGACCTTATGTCCAGGGGCACTAGATTCCCTTTTAGAAGCCAAAGTGGTTTTTTGGTAATGCTTTCCAAACAAGGCCAGTTTCATCGGCATTATAAACAAACTCCGGATCATAGGATTCTGATGCAGTTTTAAATTTTTCAATAAAATTTTCAGCAGCTGCAGAGTCTGCTGAAAGCTTCTCACCAGCCAAATCTAACTCGCGTACACCATGCCTGAATTTAAAATTCCTTAGCCAGCCGTTACTAGCCTTAAAAGATGAATAACCAAGCTTTTCTGCAAAGATTTTGGCTTTTTCACAAAGGATTGGACCTGAAATCGGATTTCCCATAGAACGTTGCTGCAAAAACCATTTAAACACGGCATCTTCCAAATTTTTCTTGGTTGCTGTCTTCATTGTTTTCCTGGAGGAACTTCCATCTTCATTTTCAAGCACCGAAACAAAGTTTAAAAGTGTTGACTTACTGTTTTTAATGTCAGAAATTGTTGCTTGTCCAACACCATAAATCTCAGACAACTTCTTACCCGTTACACCTTTATCGAGTTGCTCTATAATTTTCAGTTTGTCCACTAACGATAGCACAACACGTTTTCTTTTCGAAGCCATGGTATAAAAACAATACAGTATTGTATACGCACAAACAAAAGTAAGCCGTAGCGAAAGAGTAGCGTCCTCGAGCAAGGTCAATAGCACACTGGCTAATCAAAACAAACAATGACAGGTGCGCCGTGACTGCAATGCGCCGGAACTTGTCTTAACTTGCCGTTGTGCCTACACACGCGGGGGGAAGTCAGTGTAGGCACAACGGCAAGTTAAGACAAGTCAAGTCAAGACTTGACGCGCAAACACTGGCTTCGCGGGGGGGAGAATAATAGCGCACTTAGACTTTTTTTGGACAATTTTTTGTGATTCGGATAATCGGCGATTCGGATAGTCGGAGTTCGGATAATTGGAGTTCTACTGTAGAAGAATACAATCATAAGGTTGTAGTTTCCAAAAAAATAAAAATCAAATAGTAAAGCAGTCGTATATTATATATGAATGTAATCATTGGTCGATCTCTCCGAGGTAAATCTGTTTGTCGCTGGAGGCGGAGAGCAGGATGGGCTCGTGCGGGTGGAAGTCCACGGCGTTGACGGAGCCGTTGTGGCCGGGCAGCTTGTACAGCACGCGGCGGGTCGTCGTGTCCCACACGTACACGAACCGGTCCGCCGAGCCCGCCGCCACCTGCGCCCAGGAGTAGGGTTACCATCTGACCGGATAAATCCGGTCTAGACCAGATTTTGAGGAAATAGCCCGGATTCCGCCCGGATTTCATTCGAGACCGGATTTTTAGTCATATTTAATGCAAAAACAAGGAAAAAAATTGAGATGTGTACGAGTTAACGACGTAAATGCAAAGTGTCAAAATATATCACTAATTGACGGTACTTTTACCTAACCAAAACAACAGCTGACGTAGTTATTAATCAGAATGTGGGTAGAATAAATAACAGTTAATTACGATATGCGATAAGTTAATGAGAAGAAAACAATTTTTAAAGTGGTCAACCGGTCGCTTTTTGGTCATTAAAAAAAAAAAACATATTTTCGTAATCGGACCTGAGGAATATTTTTCAGTATTTTTCTAAGGATATACTTACTAATAGGAACCAAAATATATTAGTTTTATTTCAGAGCAAAAAAAAAAGTGTCAAAATTGTCGGCTAGTGTAATAAGCGCCACCCGGTACGATGCGCAGCGAACGCCAAATTAAAACAATCATATTATGATAAATATGCATGTCTTGACATGCAGAGGTGCGGGAGGGGCGGCCCCCAACCTTTTTTAAGTGACTTTTATTTTCCCAATCTAGTGACTTTTATTTTCGGCCAAAGACCGGATTTTTTTACAGAAATCAGGATTTTTTGCACAAACACTTGCATGCAACCGGCTTTTCGATTTAAATCCCTGGTAACCCTACCCAGGAGGTACCCACACTCGGTCACCATGTGCGATGTACGTAGGCGGGATGATAAATAGCTAGCCCAACCCATATTTTGTATAATAACGATATAAAATCTCCTTAGTATTTTACTCGTTGGTTCATTAGCTGCTAGTGTTACAAATTTCAAATCGATCGTATAGTTTTTCTTTTAAATATTGACATTTCAAAAAGTTTTTGTTTTTTCTGCAAAATGGATAAAATTGAGCTACGAACTGTGATAAAGTTTTTGCATTTAAAAGGATTAAAAGGTGGAGAGATTTTTTCGGAGATGAAGGATGTTTTGGGAGAAAATGCTCCTAAAAAATCATATGCGACCATAAAAAAATTGGGTGGCTGAATTTAAACGTGGCCGTACCCAGCACCCAAGATGAATATCGTCCAAGACGTCAAAAAAGTGCCACTACTCCAGAAATTGTGATCAAAATTCATGATGCAGTTTTAGCTGACCGAAGGTTGAAACTTTCCGAGATAGCTGATACTGTAGGCGTCTCTAAAGAATGGGCGCATTATACTTTGACAAGAATTATGTATGAAAAAAATTATCCGCAAGGTGGGTGCCGCGATTGCTTACAGTTGACCAAAAATGCGTTCGTATGCAAATTTCACAAGAATATTTGGACCGCTTTAAGAGGTAACCGATTTTCTGCGACGGTTTGTTACTACAGACGAGACTCGGGTTCACCACTATATACCTGAATTAAAAATTCAGTCTAAACAATGGACGGAAAAAGGATCCCCGGCTCCAAAGAATATCGATGAATGATTACCTTCCAAAAGGACAAAACATAAATGGCGAATATTATGCTGATCTACTGGATAAATTACAAGTGTGTATTCGTGAAAAAAGACCCGGCCTGGCTAAAAAAAAATAATCTTTCATCAGGATAATGCTCGCGTTCACTCGTGCATCACTGCGGTGGCGAAATTCAAAGAATTAAATTATGATTCGCTACCACACCCAGCTTATTCTCCTGATCTGGCAACGTCTGACTTTCATCTATTCCCTAAGCTCAAAAATTTTTTTAGGTGGACAAAGATTTGAAAGTAGTAGCTAGGTGATGTCTGCCGTGGACAGTTATTTTGAAAGGCTTGAAGAAAATCACTTCACATAGCACTTCAAGGAGACTGTGTCGAAAAATAAATATACTTCTAACACACTAATTGAAGTTTTTCTATGCTAGGCTAGTACACGTCTAGTATCGGTGCATACCTTGGAGCCGTCGCGCGCCCAGGCGCAGCGCAGCAGGTTGCGCTCGTAGTTGTGCGCGTGGCCCGCCAGCAGCTTCACGCAGCGGTCGGCGGCGGCGGCGGCGGCGGGCAGCGGCCGCACGTCCCACACGCGCGCCGCGCCCTCCGCGCCGTTGGACACCAGGTACCACCCGTCGTGGGACAGCGCCATGCCTGCCCGCGTTGTTCGCAATGTCACTTGGTTAATTAGTGGGGCTCGATGGTTCCAGAGGGAGCTTCGTTTATGCTCAGAGGAGGTCTCGAGAACGAATGAGATACCAAAACTTTGGACACTTAAACCTGAGATGGCGACTCGATAGAATTCGATGGCGCGATCTTTAAACTTCGATTCAAATTTGGCGCTGAGACTTTAATAATTCTCTAACAAAAATAGTACAAACATTTTTTTTTATTAATGGTGATTATATTGTGACATAATACGCAGTATAATTATAAAAATATCAGTCACTAACCATTTAAATAATACAGTTATGTGGTCACGAGACATAAATAAATATTACCTACGTGAAATAAAGTAATAGAATTTACATTCTAAAAAACAGAATATAGCGCCATCTATTGGGTGTATTTGCAACCTAGATGTCGAACGATTTCGAAGAATGTTATCTATGAATCGACGTACACCGCCATCTATGAGAACTTCATAAAACTAAACAGTGAATAAACACTCGCTTAAGAAACAATGAATTAGTACATTTTATTCGTTTTCATTCACGACATAAGCGAATAATTGAGATGATAACTATCCTATCCAGTAAGTTAGACCGAAATACGGGTACATGTGAAATTTGATTGAAATCGGTTCAGTAGTTTTGGAGTTTATTGGCAACGTACATCATGACACAATTTTTTTTTTTATATATAAGATAAGATTAAATATTTATTGACATAACGCATTTCGGGAAGCTCTGTATGCTTGACGTTAAACTAGGAGGTGTGCAGCCATCCAAACGTCAGGCTGGTCAAAAAACTATTTTATTTCTAAATATTTATTATCTGTTGATCAGCCTCTAACATAAAGAAAGGTTTTTGCTTCCCTATACTATTGAGGGAAGGATTTTATTTCAGTCAACTCGGAAAGCTGATATTGAATGGGATATGCAGAGTTTTGTCCGAAACTGGCAAATGATTGGTTTCGCTGGATTTCCAAGGTGTAACACTAAAAGCATTAAGGTACCTCGCTGGTATGGTGATAGGACTAACGAATCTGCCAACCCTGCAGATCGGGAGTTGCACCTTTTTGTGATGTTAGAGAAGCTTACGCCTGCGTAGTAGCGTTACATTTATCTCGATGGTTGCGTTAAGCTTTCACTAGTTGCTCCTGTAAAAGCTATGACCATACCACACCACGAATTACAAGGTGCTTTAATTGCTTCTCGTTTTGTAAAAACTGTTTGTGAGGCTCACCGCAACAAACCTACACGGACATTTTTTTGGACTGAATCTACTACAGTTAGTTGGCTCAGAAATGACAGTCGAATATTTAAACTCTTTGCAATGCACAGAGTTGCTGAGATTTCTGAGTCAACGGAAGCCTCAAACTCCCCCAAAATTCGATACCATGTAAGTCATCAACCAGATTCAAGAATTACAAAGAATAATTCCTACAATAATTACAAAGACGTGAACCACACACTCCCTAACAGACTTTTCAGAAGGGAGATGGTGTTCTCATCGTCGATGAAAACCTTCCAAGAGGCATTTGGCCAATCGGGTGGATTAACGCACTGCACCCAGGCTCAGACGAAAGTTGATACATCTCCCCATTATGAAAATAGTTCATTTACGCCCATCGTGGTATAGATTAATAATTTTGTTATATTTGACCATGTTTTGACCTTGACCTACACGTTGCCACACAGGGGGCGCTATGTTGCCGAAAGAGGAGGTTAAATACCTTTTTTTTTTACTTTTTATAGTATTTTTTTATAAAACAAATTAATATATATCATTCTAAAGTTACCAAGCTAGACGTTTTATTTTTACCGAAGTATTTTTCTATATCCAAATAAACAGTTCTCTAAGTACAACGCGGGCGAAGCCGCTGACGGAATGCTATATAAAGTGAAAAGATATATTTAAAATATATACAATTTGCCTGCCTGCTTTCCGATAATGATAAATAGTTTGTTACACTATATACCTGTGACTGTGTCCGTGTGTCCTTTTATTTTGTATGATATTTGTTTGTTTCTGATGTCCCATACTTTAATTACATTGTCTATGCCGCCTGATATTATTTTCTCTGCTGTGTCGTTGAATAAAACTGACGTAACAGGGTATGAACTGTCGAATGAGGCTATGGGATTTCGCTTTCTAGCATCCCATAGCTTTATTGTATTGTCGTCTGATGCCGATACCAATAGTTCAGGACCTCTTCTTGCTCCTGAAAAATAGTTTATAATATAAAATTAATTAATGAGGTTCAGGTGCTTTTAGAATGATAGATGTGAGCGATCATAAATTAAGTTATTTAAGAAACATTGAAGTTGGGCGGTTAATATTTAATTAACGGGCTGAGGTTTTCTGTAGTTAATTAAATAATAACAACCCGACTTTAATGTTTTTTTTTTCAATTAACTGCTTTTAAGATAAGCATTATTTTTCACTTTTTTTTAAATTTCTATGCATTCTATTTGATCAAATAGAAGTCTATTTGATGCATTTTATTAATATTTTGAGTTTTGTGGTAACAAACATTAACTGATCACTTATACGTTATATGGTTTTCTTAGAGACGCCATTGCCAGATCTGGACCAAATTAAATTGGGTCCACACGGCAAGCACTAGCTTTTAAACAAAGAAAGAATAATCAAAATTGGTCTACCCAGTAAAAAGTTATGAGGTAACAAACAGAAAAAATTACTGTCAAATTTGACTGAATTATTTTACTTCTTTTTTTGAGTTAAAAATATTATAGTATTTATAAAAACAAATTTGGACTTATTTGTATATCAAATAAAGTATTACTAGACCTTTTCCTAGTTTCGTTATAATAAATTGCACATCTCAAATGTACATTAGCAATTAAAACATTCAGTCTTGAAAAGGTAATAGCTTACATACTTCAAAAACCTAATTTTGTTTTTCTAATTCTGAGACACTGTAAATCGGTGTGTGATGCGGAAGATGAGCAACATTCGCAAGGGCCGGTCATGGGATGGGTAATTAATATTTTTTCTGACACTTTCCTTGCTTCGGAAAGCTCGTCAAGCCGGTGGTCCCAGTTCCTCATTCAATTTGATTCCATCCACAGAGAAGGCGTGTGCTCCAACGGTGGGGACAATAATAAGCTGGTGATGATGACGTACATAATAGGTACACTGCTTAAGTGAAACTATGAAGCCGCAGCGTAGTTTCTTAGGCAAATACATCCCACTTGTATTTCCAAAGCGATTACATAATAAATTGAAAACTAACCTGATACAGAATTGACAAAATTTGCATGCCCCTTTAATTTTTTTATCCTTATTCCCGTGGGCACATCCCACACAGCCACTGTGTTGTCTGTGGCGCATGTATATAGATGGGAACCGTCTGGTGAGAAACACAGCTCCATGATGGCTCCCGTGTGACCAGACATCACCATGACGTTCTCGCATTGTCCATACACATTCCATATGACTGAAATATGATTCAATTAATTGCATCGGAATGGTATCTGAGAGAGGGAATATGCAACAGAGGCTGTTAACATATGAGACGGGAAGATGACTTAGACGGTTAGCAGGACATCATTAGAGGAAGGTAGGGAAGACCAGAGCTCAGTGAAAACTGTTGGAGGTGGCATATGCCAAGAGGCTTTCTGACTAACAAGTCGTTTTATAATATCAATTTTAAATTACCGAAATGTATTTTAAGATAATGTACTAAAAGTTCAGAATAAAAGGCATATTATAATTAATTATGATTGGTTCATTAACTACTTATAGAATAATTTTTAGTGATAAAAGAATAGAGAAATATAATTTAATAAGCCTCTTTTCCCTTTTTCACTCTTAATTATATGGACCAATTACTCACATATTTGTCGGTCAAAACCTGCAGACGCTAAATGTTTTCCTTCTGGATGAAATTTGGCAGTAAATATCTCACCCTGATGACCCTCTAATAACATAATAGGTGCATATAAATTTGATGTCCGAGGAACCTGCCAGATAAATACAATAATAACTATCAATTTGCTTAAGTCAAAACAATAACTATTATATATGTATTATGATAATTAAATTACATATGAGTTTATACACATTATTAGACAGTTGACTCTAGATAGTACATAGATTACTATAAACATAAGAAAATAAGATAAGAATGCAACAATATAAATATTAAACTATTAAACTGAAATAAATTTTGGATGATGATTCAAGGTGTCATCATCTCTTGAGGTCCGGGTTCGATTCGGGTATATTTTCTCGGATCTGAGTATTGTGGTACCTTCCTAAAGTGTTTTAAAAGGTAAATTGTTAAACTGCTTCATAAAAAAGGCAGTAAGACTTTATTAAAATATTCTCTAAAATTTTGGAAATTAAATAATGTACAGTGGGATAAATAGTTTTCTATATATTATTGAATAAAATAGGAACAGAGTTGTTTCAGAAAAAGCAGAAATATATCATTAGCGTCTTTTAAATTAGTTAGATAACAAGGGCTTTTGATTTTGTGTGCCATAGATTTCTTATTAATATGTATTTTATTTGGATTATATATTTTATGACGACCCCTACTTTAGAACTTATAAATTCCTTCCTGTCTGTATGTCTTTGATTTTCCAATTTACTGTAAAAGAAGTGAAATGTAATTTTAGTTTCTAAGTCACAATGTGTATACACATAAAAGGGTAAAATTAAATGTGTTTTGAATAACTGTTTTTTGCTATCTTTTTTATGCCCAATAAAGTACTTACTAGATAATAGAACTGGAATGTGCTTGTTTCAGTGATCAGAATAATGTAAACAATATCTTTCAGTTTTATGGCTACATGTCACCTAAAGAACTAGCGAGATTAAGCATGAACCAAGCTTTCAGAGTCAATTTCAGCTTATATAGATTAAATCTGAATTAAGTATTTTTGAACACAGTTTCGGTGAAATGCACAAGGGCAACGCTATTAATTAAAAAGAAGAATGGATTGGATTGCTAGAGTGTAATAACATAAAATAACGTAAGCAGTAAAGATGAAATATTATTATTATTGTTGTGGTGGGTACATACGGAAGATGTTACGACAGCTTTTTCTCTGGAGCCTACAACTGAAATTTCGTGACGCGTCTTTTTTGCCGGTACGACAGAGTACTCGTCGGCTTTTCTTTTCATTTCTATTTCCATCGCCATGATTAAGATTACTACGGAAAATTTGAATTTTCATAGAACTTCTAATTAATGTTTCCGTTCCTTCCTAATGTTTCCTTTGCAGCACAAACAAAACCAGAAAGTAAAATGGTATAACCAAAGACAACTTTTTCAATGTATTTTAAGTCTTAATCCTTAATCTTTAGTTTCTTCTTCTTCTTCTTTTTTAATTCATGGCCTATTTGCATTTACAAAAAATAATTAATTAATTAATTTAATCTTTAGTTTAAAAATCAAAGAAAGAAAATTGACATTTAGCAACTTGATGATGTGATAGGTATACCATAAATATTGATAGTTTCATTTAAGGTAAAGGGTTCTTAACTCTAAATCCTAGTTTTCTGTAATGTTAATTGGTGTTTGATATTTTAAATACTTTTTAGTTTTGAATTTTCTTCGTTACTTTTCACATCTTTCGATTGCAAAGCGTATCTAATGAGCTATGTTGTTGAACTGATCCAAAATTAAAAAAAACATGGACTTAAGTAAAGATGGTAAGGCCATGGCCATACATTTAAAAAAATACCACTAGTCGTGTCTGTCGTTCATAGAGAACCCAAGATTTGGTTGTATTAGACTTAGTTTCTTCGCCTGACCCATGGACGAAACTATTACTATAATAGATATAGGTTCATGCTACCTGGCAACACTGTTTGGCAGTATGGCTAAGTTCATTCGCCTGTCCCAATGGGCTCGTCAACTCCGTACAATAAACCAATCGCGTAGGGTCGTACGAATGTATTTACAAGTTCATAATTTCAACTTTTGATTTAATATGAAAACTTGATACTGTGTAGAATATAAAAGGATATTTTACCCTTATAAAGAACAATGTACTAAAGATGTGGCTGTATGGATATTTCCAAAGCCGTTAATAAAAACAAAAAAAAATCGGGTAAGGTCCAGTGATGTTGCATTTCCCTATGGCATTTCCAAACGCCCCTCCCCCTCCCCTGACAGTAGATGGTGACATGACAGCTGACAGCAACTGCCATTATAAGGGACGAATTAAATTACATAAATGGTTTTAGCGGGTTGGTGTTGTTTTGTAGAATTGTTTTAAAATGCACGCAAATAATTTAGTTAAAGAATTATAAAAATGCAGAAACTGCAGTTGACCCTTGCAATAATAAAACCGCATGCCGTCAAAAATCCTGTTGCGCTTTCATACATTAGACAGGTAATAAAGAATAAGTTTATCGTAATCAAAACGAAAAGACTATGTTTAGACACTGATACTGCAAGTAAATTTTACAAAGAACACGTGGGAAAGTTCTTTTACAATCGATTAATCACTTTCATGGCCAGGTAATATTTTTATTCATCTGTGAGACAAATCTGTGTAGTCATATCGAATATTATTTATAATGCGGAAAAATATTAATTATTTTTTCATTTTGCTGTTTCAGTGGATGCATAGATCTTCATATTATGGGTCATTCAAATGCAATTGAGCTCTGGAGGCTTCTCCTCGGTCCAACAAGTGTCTATAAAGGACAATTTCAGAAACCTTATTGTTTACGAGGCATGTTTGGCATTTCAGACACTAGAAATGTTGCACATGGTTCTGGTTAATATCCAAAGAAAGTTTATATATTTTGTATTTAAACATTTACAAATTTGAAGTTTTTTATCATTTATAGATATACATTACTATATTTTACTGTCATATAAAATCAGATTACACAATTATTTTAGTTGTAAAGACTGTTACAAACCGTGTAAGAGAAAACAAAGCTTATCAGATAACAGTTCAGATGTTTTTTTATCTTACAGATTCCCTCGCATCTGCAGAAAGAGAAATAAAATTCTTCTTCCCTGACTTTTCTTTTTATAAATGGCACAAGAATGATGAAGAATTTTATAGAAAAGGCCCAATTGTATTCAACAATCATCTATTTCAACATGTCAGAAGACTCTAGTTATTAGACAAATATTAAATTGTTAAACATAGAGAATGATCAATCTTATCCACATTGTACCTGTAATTAGTAAATATAGAAAATATATTCCCTCTTTTTATGAGTTTTTAAGATTTTTTGTTGATAGTATTCATATGCCCATTTCCACTAAACTTGGGAGTCACCTGAATATTTAAGAATCACCTAAGGTGAAAATGCATTACACCAAGGACTAGGAACCACCTTGAAAGTAATGTTTAAAGTTATGAAATGTGTTATGCGGTACCTTGCTTATCTGTTTTGCTACAAATTTGAACAGACTATTAAATGTTTTTCTGTAGTGGAGTATAAATTATTTATTACTTAATTTATACTTTTACTGAAATTTCCACTTATGTATAGATTGAGGAGCCACATTAAAAGTATTGTATACTCTTTAATATCAACAATAATTGTCTCACATATGCACCATCTCAAATTTATTGCTACCAAATGATACAATATTTTCATTAATATACTATAAGTACTTTACATGTTTTACATGGCTCCTTAATTCAGATGTTTAGATTGTAGAACCTCTTTCACATTGATATGGATATATTTTTCCACAAATTTCAGAATTTAGTATACAAAATTATTTAAATAAAGGGGTAAAGTTCTATTTAAAATCTGAGTGACTCCTCAATCTACATGGACATAAAATGTATATTTGGAATTAAATTTATCTGCTTAGGCAATTTGCAAGATGTAACTATGCCTTGTTCTAGTTTAGTGAAAATGAGTTTTCTACATGTGATGCTTGAATAGACTAGAGTTGATTTGTTTTATTCTCTGCATTTAACAAGACTAAATAGTATATGTCAAATTATTGATATTATAAATTAATTTTGCATTCGCAATACTACACAATACTAGTCAGTCCTGTAAGGTCCCAGCTTAGTGGTTAAAAGCAGTCGCACAGATTGCGAAAAGTTGTGGGTTCAAGTTCCTTCCCATAGTACCTCAGGGTGAAGTGAATTTTTTAAGGATTTTTTCATTAAAAATATTGTTAAAGTTTTTTAAATCTAATCCTCAATCATAATTTTGTTTGTTACTAAGTATATATTTCTGTGATTATATACTTACAAGCATTTTTATTTTATCAAACAATCAAATTTAACTGAAAATCAGTATATTATCTCCAAAAAGTTATAGAAACACTGTATACCATACAAAATATATCATTATATTAATTACAATAATTCAGTACATAACATACAATATTATATTAAACTAGAATACAAGAAATTAACTTACTCATAAAATCACTAAAATTTTCAACTTGTGTGTAAGTGTAATCAACATAAAATTTAAATGTAGCATGTATTAGATTGATCATACATTGTTACTTGTTTATCTCAAAATAGAAAACTTCATTCTCCTATCTTGACAAAAACCTTAGGCCTAGAAAATACTTTGATGCCCTCTTCTAGTTTGGCCAGTTGTTTCTCCAGTTCCATCTTTCTATTTCGCATTCTAAGTGTGTCAGTTTTAACTGGCATTTTGTTTAATTCACTTACTAATTCTGCAAAACCTGTAAGATAACCCAAAAATAACTGGAAAGGTACTACACATAACTTGAATATATAACTTTAATTTTAACAAATTATTGATTGTGTAAAAATATTATCTCTTACTATTTCTAAGCATACGTAAGGTTTCTTTTCTCTCTGTATCTGGTAATGTCACATGACCTGGAGGACATGTGGACTGGTCAACATCAGCTCCTGCACCATCACTTTCTTTTGGACCATGTTCTTTGCGTTCACGCAAATATTTAGGAACTACACCTTTTTGATAACCTAGTAATATATAGTTAATAAGTATCAGTACAAACATTAATAATTTTATAGAATAATATTAAAAATAACAATTACCACAAGGCAAATATGGGTCCTTTTTATCTTTCCTTTCTAATATTGAATTGAGACGACTACGGTTTCTTTCAAATTCTATAATATCTTCACTTGTGCGGTTTTTCATATTTGGAGATGGTGATCGACGGTCAGAATCTCCACTAGCTTTTAACTTTGCATCATCTTCAATTTCTTTTTTGGGGTAAATCATAGTTAATTTGGCACAGTCTGATAATTTTTGAGAAAGGTTAGATTCCACAGTCTGGCAGCCAATATCTCTTGCCCGACCAGAGGATTCTGAAGATCTTGCATCCTCATCAGCAGATGTATCTATAGGTTTAATCACTTGTCTTTGTTGTTTCCTTTTTAAAAACTCTGCCATATCACCTTTTTTTATTTTAACATCTGGATACTTCTTACGAGAATATGTTGAACTAGTCTTACCAATGTTTAGAGATACTTTCCCACTTTTATTTGATGGTGAAGATTTTACTTGACCTAAAGTGTTTCCCGTAGTCACTGTACTGGTCAGTCGTGGTGGAGGGATGTTTTTTAATGTAAACTTGGGCTCTTTTGGCGATTTGCCTTGAATGTACTTCAATTGTTTCATATTTTCCCTGATGAAATTCTTTTTATGGTCCTTTTCTGGAAATTAAATCAAAATTCAGGTAGGCTTAGGGAAGAATGTTAGTTTAGTTTACTGACAGTTAAACAAGGTGATTGTGCATGACAAAAAGTTAGTTTTATCAGTAATTTTACATAGTTATTCTTAAATACTCACTGGGTTCCGGAAAAATTCCCTTCAATGTATACATCTTTAATATCAAACCACGAAAGTCAAACAGAAAAAATATACACTCATCATTTAGAGCTCACAAAAAACCGTACACTTCTAATGAAAAATATGATTCATCGTGGCACTTTTATTTCAGTTTTCAGTATAAAAATGTTTGCAGTAATATTTTGTAATTTCCGCTCGGTTTTTGTCCTTTTTATTTTTCAAATAACTGTCAAATAAAAGTTTGTCTATGCTTAATGTGTCAAACAATGCTACTGGTTGAATTTTGTTTTCGATTACAAGTTTTCTGAGTATGGTACTATTTTTAGTCTTTTGTTATCGATTTTCAACAACTAGTACCTGTCTATTGCCTTGGTGAATAATCCTTTCTTATTGATAGTAAATATGATTAAACAATAATGATATGACCTTGGTGGTTACCCGGTTAAATAGTCAGCTCCGTCTGCCACTCCCCCCCATGTTCGGTTTCCATAAATTGACAGTTTTTTATTGCTATATTACTTGTTGCTGATGAGTAATAGTTTAATTTTAACGCTCTATATGAAATAAAATAGGGAGAAAAAAAGCAGCCCTTGCCGAGTTTCTTGCCGGTTCTTCTTGGTACAAGGTCTCTCGCAATAGATTAACGAACAGATGGCGTAGCTCTCGACTTTCACAAGTCCTTGTAACAGCCTAGACTGAATAAATATTTTCTTCTTTTTATTTTTGATTTTATAAAAATACTTTTTCCTATCTCACTCACGTTTGTAACCTTATAGAAGAAAAACCTTATAAATGGCTTTCTTTTTTTTGTTTTTTTTTTTTAATTCTGGCCTTTTTCCATTAAACACAGAAATTCAGCCAATGTCCCGTTGTGAGGGAGACACGAAAGAAATTGCTCAGTAAGTAGTGTTTTACTTGTTAATTTGGCTTTCTTCCTTGAGTGTGCTCTTTCTCTAACCTAAATAAAACACCACAAAACAAACGTCATAAATTCTATTTATAATAAAAAATACTTAAAAATATTGCAATAGTAGGGGATTATAATCTAATGTTATGTTTATTAATATGTTTGCAGAGATATAAAAATCTGGGTTTATAGGATATAGATAAGAGGGTATTAAGATATGGCTTTCTTGCTGTTGTAGAAACATCCTTTAGAATTGACATTAGTTAAACCAATATTACTGATACAAATTTTCAAATTTAGAACATTCATTAGAGCTTAACAGACGTTTGTGACTAGCAATCCCTATGGTAATAAGTAAAGCAGCAGTAGATAAATTCCTAATAGTTTTTTGATTACTAGAACGGTAATAGACGAATTAAATAGGATAGAAAGATGGTATGTATTAAAATAATTCAGGATGTTATTTTGAAACTCCAAAAAGTTTTTTGAAGTTCTTTAGAAGACAGGTATGTAGATTTTGAACTTATTTGAAAATATGGAATGGAACTAGTCCGACTAATAATAATCACGGTTGTTGCTGATGGGGGTTTTTATTGTATCAGCGGATGGTGATCTTGATATTTATAAATAACTTAAATAAAATATAACATTAGGAATGTTATATTTTACTACAAAATTATTAAAAAGGTTTAAGGCAATTTGGAATATTTGAAACAAATTTTAACTACAACCATTTATACGTACTTATTTACAGCACGAATTACGAGTTTTCTTTTTTGTCTTAGCGAAACTGAGAAATTATTATTTCTTTAGCCTGCTCTTTTATTTATACCTTCCTTTATATTTATTTCCCTTTGTAAAATTGTTAATTGTTGTAAGGCACTTTAATTTTTTTTGACTCCATTCGTTTTCCCCTGAACTTTGAATTTCCATCTTGCTCGTACGCTGGTATTTTGCTTTGGTTATTGTATCAATCTGTATACTCGATTTGTAGTACATATTTACTCTCAAATCAAAATAGATTTATTTCTAACTTTTCTTTCGCAATCAAAGCAGAGAAATCTGACGTTTTTGTAATATTTTCTTATCAAATAACACATAGCTTGCACATTTTACTGACTGGTGCGCATCGGACTAAATATCGTTCTTAATCACACTCAGGTACGAGTCTCTCTGTGTGTCGCAGCCAGCACCCGCGATTGATTACACAGGTATTTTGTTTATTATGGCAATATCTTTTTTTCCCCTACCACTTGTTCAACACGTCTTTTAGCTGACAAGAAGAACAATCGAAAAAACTTACCAGCTCTTTATCATAAGTAATGACATCTATATAAATCATGTCATTACCATGATAGTGCGTGTTATAATAATAATAAATACAATTTTAAGGTCTGTAGGACATAGGTTGGTACATATAATTAGTCGTTATAGAACAAAGCGAAGGCTATTATTTCCATGCATTGCGGTCCTTAAAATAATTATCAACTTTATAATAGCATTTACTCATAAGTATGTTCTTAACATGAATTCTAAATTTATTTACGGGTAGGTCAATTACATTTTGTAGGACTTTATTGAACATAGCAATGAATTCACCCAGAAATTATCATTTGGTTTTTTAAAGTCTGAAGCTTTGAACGGAAAGTTATTTTTTCTTGTGTTATAATTATGAACACTACTTGTTTTTGTTGTCTAGGATTCGTAATGTTTTCTTACGTACATAATATTTTCATATGTATTGAGAGGCAACAGTCAAAATATTTATTTCTCTGAGAGATTCCCTAGACCGTAAAATATAGGAACCGTAATGGTACAGGTGTGGTCCTACTGGATGATAAAGGCAACTGACAAAGGAGACTAAAGGGTAACTGTCTTCCTCCGAGCTAGCTATTTTTGCGAATTGGTAATGAAACTCATTGTGGGCGATGTAGGATTCCTTTGTTCTAAATGACTTGTAGTAATCTTAATTAAAGGTGTATAACGCCATCTTGTTATTGGATGTTGAAAGTTCTTGCAGTTCGTCTTGCTTTCGATTATAGTGGCGGTGTTAGTGCGATGTGTTAGATGTCGCTACGTATCAGTCGCCACAATATATAGCGCGGGCAAGCTCTCTTTTGTAGAATAAAAATATTCTGAATGCTAGTCGAAGACCCCACAACAATAGGCCATACGTTATTACATTAATAAAATAACTAAAATATACCAATCTTGCCATTTCAACATTTGTTAAGAGTCTAATTTTCTTAACAGCAAATGCTGCAGAACTCAGTGTACTTGAAAAGTTGTCAATATGAGGATCCTATTGCAGTCGGGAATCTAGTGTAATACTAAGGAATTAGTCGATTCTTTCAACTCCACTTTTTCACTATTTAAATTTATATGTGTACTAACACGCCTCACATTAGGTAATGCATAATTACCTAATAGTATCAAGCCTAAAACTAATACAAAACAAGCCAAACAAAATTGACGCAGTTTCAGTAACTCATATGTTTATGTTTAATTAAAACAGGACAATAAGAAATCCTTATAATGATGGAAGAATAAAATCTTCAGTATCACCATAATTCAATGTTTTTAGCCACTTGGTTACCCGCCGTTAGTAAAGGTGTGCTTCTATTATTGCATTGAAGACTTCGTAATAATATTATAGCACATATTTAGTACATGCTTTAGAAAAGTTAGGCTAATAAATTAGAGCGGTCCTCCGACGCGACAACATTTAAGGAAAAACATTCACATAATTACTGATAAAACAAAAAACACAAATAATTTCAATTTCTTTAATCAAAACTCGGTGCAACATTTGAATGTTTTTGTTGATTTAAAGCCTGCGCAAAGTTCTTTGATCAAAATAATATAGAATATACTCGCAATCATCTGGTGTTGATCATATATATATAATATAAAAATATTTTTTCTTTCGTAAACAAAATTACTTGAATTTTAACATTTTTATCCATTAAAATTAAAAAAATGTATCATTTACTCAAGTACCAATTTTCATCGCTATACAACAAAACATTATGTAAATAATATGAGGGAAATTTATTAAAATGACAAACTAATCAGTATGATAAATAACACATTAGTAACTACAATACAACGAACATGAACTAAAACACATAAACATAAATAGAACCACTTAGTTTGTGAATGTTTTTTCTGTTAGTTATCTCTAAAAGTAGAGATAACTAACAGAAAAAACATTCACAAACTTGAGCAAATTCAGCAATCAATTTACACGGAAAAACGGAAAAAACAAGCCAGACTTTGTCTGCTAGTGTTCTATGGTACATGAAAGAGACGAAAAAATAAAAATAATTGCCGTGACAAATGAGTGAGAAAGTGTAATCAATGTCCCAAACTACGTCCTACTTAAATCAATTACTTCTCTTGTTCCCTTAAATGGAGCAAGTTGGTAGGAAAGTAAAATTTATTGGCGAGCCTCTTTGTGTTGCCGGCAAGTTTCACCATTATAGGGAGGGCGGGAGTGCGGGGCGGGTGCCCTGCCTGCCGCCTTGCCGTACGAAGACTCGGCTCTTACAGGAAGTTTAATTTCCGACGGAACGCCTTTTTTATATTTCTTCAAATGTATAAGATATTTTCTACCCAGTCTCTAAGTGTACCTTACACTATGGCTACACTTACCTTCAGCCTTAAAAGCCGTTCACACGGCAGGAACTCCGAGCCCCTAGCAAGGTGACCTTGATTGGCCTACCATGTAGAACCTACTTCGACATGACCTTCGGCGCCTTTGGTCGAAACGTAGCGTATCGGAATGTTGACACATATAAGAATTACGCACAATTACGTAATTTGGAGTATCATGAAGGGATAAACAATTATTATACATATGTGTTCGGATTTGAAACATTATATCACAATATTTGCAATATTTATACAACAAACAAAAATATAAATATTTTAAAGGTGAATTCAACTAATTCATTGAGGCCGCTTACAGATATCGATATAGTGAATGAATTAATGGGTACTGCTACAGGATGCCACCCTTTATTTGAAACAAGTAAGTATTCAGATCGAATAATATTATCTTTACATATTCGACATTAAGATGTTCTTTGTTCTGAAATTCTCAAATAGGTCCCTTCATAAGTGAAAGGAATTTCAGAACATAAGAATAATAACTATATTTTTGAATCTTTGAATTTATTTTAAAATATCTATCTCATGTCTTGTGTCTAGTTTTAATAGTTAAATTAAAAAATACATTATTTTCGGAACATAAAAGATGACTAATAATATTCGGTACTGTAGTGTCAGTCAACAAATAATTTTCTATTAACTTCTTATTGTTTTTATAGGCTTACCCATTTTTCAATATTAATTTAAAATGATATAACTCTCTAATACCACTTCTTTTTATATGAAGTCCCGTCTAAATTTTATTAAAAATAAATCGACTTCATATTTCCATAGATAGTAAGTTTCATAAAGACATGTCAAATGGTTTTTAGTCTTTACAGTATGGTAACACTGCCAGTTGTAACTAGTACCAACCAAGGTTACTTTGGTCGGAACGCACATGTGGATGCTCACACGTCGACGCCCCGACCAAGGTCACCTGACCAGACCTACCGTGTGGACGGCTTTTAACACTAATGCGAGGGTTTATTTTTAATATTAATTGTGATGTTCATACAAGGTAGCTTCACCCGGGCGAGCGGGGCGTACGACAGGCGCAACGAAGTCTTAGTAATAGGGTTCCTGTGTTACCCTTTGGGTATGGAATCCTAAGAACCTACAACTCTGGTAGCAGTTCGTGAAAGTTTTCTCGTGGTTTTCTGTTAGGCTATTCCCTAAGTTGATAAATAGTTAATCGAACAAAATAGTTATTTAAGATACGAGTGCGGAAAGTAAGGTTTTACCTTTTACGCTCAAGTTTCTTACAACATTTTTCAATGGTGTTTGCGAGGAAATAAAACAAATATATAGGTAAATAAAACTAAGTATGTATTAAAGGTAAAAATTATTTGTTAAAATTAAACGTGATTGAACATGTTTTCGTGTCATACATTTTTATTTGAAAATATTCGTTCTAGGCTCCTTGAAATACTTTTGCCTCTAAAGTTTGACATATTTTCTTCATTTTTTTTTAATTTCTTTGATGCACGCACAAAAAAAAACATTAAAAAAATACTTTTAAGGATGTGTGCAGTAAAGGATTTCAGTACATTTTTATTTAACATGTGTTTAAAGACTCACTTTCGGTGTTTACAATGGATTAAAAAAATAGCGCTTTATGAGTAACTGTATTGAAAAGATAATAAGGAATATGCGTCTGATTCAAAAAGAGGTTAAATATATTTAATTACAATCGTTATTGCTTTAGAATAAATTCTATCTAAGTATTTTTCAATATTAGTTTGTTTTCGTCTTGAAAATAATTAATAAAAAGTGCAAAATAAATGCGGTAACTTCAAAATATTTAAACGCCATGCTACTTGTCAGAGCGGATGTGACGAAAATGTACACGTATAGGGATGTCGTTGTTACAAAAAGTTAACATCGATGCAATAACATCAATGTATTATGTCGCAAAATAAACAACTGATTACAATTTACATGAGTTTTAGGTTTTTATTTTTATTTCACCAATTAAGTAAATTATATGATTTATTAAAAAAGTCTATTATAGTTTAAAAAATCGATTAGTTGTAAATCGATTTAGGTTATTGAATAATAATCTATTACTCAAAAACCCATATTGATTTAAAATATCATATCTCTAGTCGTGTACTTTGACGTCACGACGAGCGCGCCAAAAATTCCGGTGTTAAAACTGCTCATAGCTATTACTTATTTTCATCAATTATTAATGTTATAAAATTTTAGTTTTTCGGTGCCGAGTATTTTTTTTACAGTTATATATATCGATGTAAATTATCATATAAAACCATTTTCCAAAAATGTGCATATTCCCTATTATTTCAACCCCTATTGAGAAATACGTAGACAAACATACACACACGCACACGTACAGATACACCTCCAAAATATTATTTAAAAACATATTTTTTAATAAATAATACTTATCTAATAAGCGACTTATTCAAGAAACTGCTATTGAATTTGGCCGGAGGTTTCTTCAGGTTATTATTAATTAAGTGATAGCCGCTCGACTTAATCACTAGTTTTTTTAATAAGTCGCTTTTAAGATAGTTTTATTTATCAATTTGCAAAAATTTGAAGTCGGTTTTATTTTTTATTTTATTTTATGTCATGCTTTTTAGTGATATTTCATATTGATATGCATTGATATTGATATTTTTTAATAATAGGTAGCACAAAAAATATTAAAACTTTTTGCATTGATAAAGCGCTGTTTCCCCGCAACTTCGTCTATGTCCCCCGCGTATTATGTAGCTTCCCGTAGGTGCAAGAATTTTATAAGCTATAATTTTACGCAGGTGTAGTTGTGGGGAAACAGTTAGTTTGATAGAAATTGATTCACAATTCAAGAACGATGAACATACTGAACATGCATACTTACATACAAATATACATACATTGTTGAACATAGAAAATCCTCCTTTCAAATTTTAAAAGAATGCAAAATAAAATACGCAATCGTTTGATTTTTGGCTGATATAAAAATGTCATCAAAATATTTAGGTGATATCTGATAAAAAGCACAATTTGTTTTATTGTAAAAATAAAATTACCGATTCGATTTCGATAAAATTTAGACCAATATACTTGGTGTTGGTCTATTGAAATGTATGGCGAGCGATATCTTTTCTTATGATTTAATATTAAATAAATAAATTATAGCGTTTTCATCGTCTGTTACGATAAGAGCTTGGCCATACTAATAAAATACCCGAGGCAGCACGACGAGTCACGACCCGGCACGACACGACACGACACACACACATGTATACACTCATCACTCCAATCCAATTACAAGCAAAACGACACGACGACGCGGCGAGACGGGCAGACGCAGGCGGGGGTAAACACGCTACCCGACGCCCCGCACCGCAGTGTGTTTCTAGGCAACATCCGATAACACGCGTCACTGCGTGTCACGAGCACGAAACATTTGATTCATTTTAGCATTATAACAAAAATGTCAGAGGAACAGATAATTGAATACGTTAAGTTATATCCTGTTTTATATAACAAAACTTTAGGTCAATACCGGGATCATAATATGAGAAATATTGCGTGGGAAGAAATCGCGGAGCAACTAAATACACCCGGTAAGTTCAACACTGATTCATTTTTATTCTCAATAGTTTTGATGTCCAGAAATGAGGTTAAGACATTTTTCATTTTATTTACCAATCATTGCGAAGACGACGTTATCAGGTGTACTTATCGTGCATTGAAATTAATAATTAGTTATGTTTTTAACTAAAAATAGTGCGTTGAAATCTAGAATTGGTTTTGTTTCTAACCAAAAATAGATAGCGTGTGTAGTGGACGTTTTAGCTTTTTAAAGCTGAAAATTAAAACAGAGATAGATATTGGCTTAATACGCGAAATAGAGCGTGAACAACTATTATTTTAAATTATTGTTGTTTGCATACATTACAATTGCATGCATTAATATTGATGAGAATACGCTCTGTAGTAGCGATAAAAGTAACAAGTGCTTGAAAGATTCGTCAGTCCTGTTAGGTCCTGGGTAGCTCAGTGGTTAGAGCAGACGCCCAGATTGCGAAAGGTCATTGGTTCGATATTCTTAATGAAAATGCTTAAAAATCCACTTCTCAAACTGGATTTTAGAGTGCATTTTCATTAAGAATATTTTTCAGTATAGCATTGTGAATAAAAATTTGACCAAATATGATAACTATAATTTTGCAATTTTCTCAATCCCGACCCCTCCATAGTGACATATTTATCAATTTCCCTTTATTTTAATACTTAGGTATAATCGCGAGAAAAAATGTATTAACCCCACAAATGGGTTAAATAGGTGCAGAATACGGCATGCTGAGGATGCCAAACTACATAAATAATGCCAACATACAATTGATGGGTTGGCGGATTGGTACAAACTAGAGATGGGCCGAGTACTCGGTTGATACTCGGTACTCGGCGGGTTTTTTTATACTCGTACTCGGCCGAGTAACTCGATAAGAATGCCGAGTATACTTTTTTTAAGAAAGCAATATATTTCGGTAGATATAATTAAAACAACAGTGTTAATCAAAAAGTATATATTACTACTTTCTACTAGGAATTTGGGATTTGGATTTTAAGGTATTCATTAATCTTTGGAACCCATTATTTTCCAAGATAGATATCGATTGGTTATCTAAAGCGATCATCTATGCTACAGCTTTGTGAATTTTTTGAGTACGCGAATCGGTTATGTCCTATTTTGTACTAAATGATTCGATAAGGATTTGCTGTATTTGCATTGCATTCGATTGCGACGACGAAGTTGATGCTCAAGTTTGAATATCTCACGATTTTGGTTATTTCCAATCATTTTCCAAATCTTTGAACTCTTCCGCGTGTTTTATTTTAACATGGTTTAACATTGCCGTCGTAGAAGCCTTACTATGATAATATGGCTAAGTGAGTCCTGTGGGTGTATCATAGCGAGCCGGCCTCTCGACCGGCACGAACCTGTTTGTACTTGTTTACGCGCGCGAAATAGGAATTTAATAAAACAGAGTTACTCGGTCGAGAACTCGGTTGAAAAAAAAAATTGAGCCGAGTTAAACTCGGTACTCGTTACTCGGCAAAAGTGTAACTCGGCGCATCTCTAGTACAAACATAACAATGTATTTTAATATTTAAACTGTTACCGTAATAAATTAACCAGAAAATCCAATATTCTAAAAACAAGTTGCAAAATAAATAATATAACTCTAGAGGAGGTAGACACTAGTGTTGCCAGACAACCTGTATTTCACGCGTAGTCCCGTATTTCAGGTATAAATTCAAATGTCCCGCTACTGGGACCTACTCTGTCCAGTATATCAATTCGATTATACAAATGGTGTTAAAGTGGACTGGTGTACGAAATAAATGTACCCCTAACTTAATAAAAAGCGAATTAACTTGAGCGTTTACGCAAATATGATCACGTATCCGCTTTCCGTGCTAAGCTCAAGTGGCTGCCAATTCGTCTTCGCCGGAATGCACATAGTATTCCTGTTAATCCTTATTCACCAGCTTATCTCAAGGAACGTTTTAAATTCCTTCATAATACACACATTAGAGTTTAGACTTCATAAGAGAACTTGATATTGTCAATACCGATGCATGCCAGTAAATTTATTAATACATCATTTACAGTCCAAACTACACGTCTTTGGAATGCATTGCCAGAAAATATCAGGCGTGCTCAAAGCATACACATTTTTAAAGAACTAGTCAAAGAGCATTATCTGTCACCCACTCTGAATCCCGTCTGATTCTTATCTATCATCTAACTAAAAGCTTATATATATGTTATATAATATATAAATATATGTATATAAATATACGAGTAGCCCGGTGCGTAGTGGATAAGCGCCGCGGCCCGCGATCGTTTTCGTTAAGTAACTTTCGCAAGGGTCGGTCACGGGATGGATGAAAAAAAAAAATTATCTCGAGCTACTCCGTGCTTCGGAACGCACGTTAAGCCGTTGGTCCCGGCTGCATTTGTAGTCGTTAATATCCTCCAATCCGTATTGGGCCAGCGTGGAGGGTCATGGCCCATCCTCCTTAACCATCCATAAGGAAGGCCTGAGCCCCTGCAGTGGGGACGTAAAAGGGCTGATGATGATGATGATTATAGAGTTTTCGATGACTTTTCGCAAACACAAGACCTGCGTGCGAAAGGTCGTAGGTTTGAATCCCATATCAAAAATGAACTGTGCCCTACAGTGGATTTTTAAGCATTTTTCATTAAGAATAATTATTGTCTTTTTATTTCCAGTCGAAGAAATAAAAGAGAAATGGGCAAGGTTAAGGAATTGCTTAACAAACGCACTCAAAAGACGCCGCAGAAAAAGCGCAGCTATTATGGGTCCATGGAAATTTGAGAAGCAAATGCAATTTCTATTGCCCTATTTAGATGCAAAAACACATGTCACAAATATGAGTAATAATACTATGTCACTCGATGAGGACACGTCTGCCACAAATTTAATTGATAATACTATATCAATCGATGATGACATACCTGACACAAATTTAAGTAACAATATTACAAACAAGGAAGAATCAAGGGACGGTTCTGAATCACAGTATTCTGGAGAAGCTACAGATTCTTCATCTCCTCTTCCTGTCCAGTGGTCTGCTCCAGGGGTCTCCACATCACATGTTGTAGCTAATTATAATCAAAAATATACAACAAAAAGCGAGAGCGATGATACTTTATTAAGGGATATGGTTGATATGATGAAATCATCTCATGCAATGAAACTCAAGAGAACAATAACAGATATGGATGAACACGATCATTTCTTTTTATCAATGAGTAAGCAGTTAAAAACACTACCTCCAAGGGATCAAGCTGAAATTAAATTTCAAATACACAAGCTTATACATGAATCTGAAATGAAAATGTTAAAAAATAATAATAGAAGGTCATTAAAATTCTAAATTAAGTTTTAAAATCAGAGTTTTTAATTATTAAGATATTTTTTTTGATAATTATCGGATAATTACTGATAAATATCTGATAATTATCGGTAGTTACTGGCAACAATAAAAAAAAAAACAGAAATGCATCCACCTTATTGTTAAATTGTTACTGTTTAAACTTTTATTTTTTTTTGCTTTAAATTATAAAATTAAACGAACAAATGACCAAAAAGTGTAATGAAAATATAAAAGGTGGTTTTATTTTTTTTGTTTTGTAGACCCATCTTAGACAATTCTCACTATCAGAAAAATCATATTTGACAGTTGTTTGAAGATGATTTCCTTTAATAACAAGTCTTAAAGCCCGAAAAGAGTTTGTGCAGTGTTTTATAAATAATTATCAAGTACATTTATCAAGATAATTATTGGGATAATTATCAGTCCGAACCATGATTAAAATCTTCAATAAACCGTTTATCAATGCTTAAGGTCTGTTGTTTTTTACTTGTGAAAGCCAGTTGGCACAAACGTAATTTCGATAGGGTATTCTACTTCGTCTGAGATAATACTTGTTACTGTTTATTTTAATTTAAAAAAGGCATAAAATTTCGGAGAAATAAACACGTTTTCTTGCCTTAATATTAAATCAATATTTTTACTTTTTTATACACGAAAACGCTGTCCGTCATATTCGTGGCGTCATTGTTATATGTTCACAAAACAGATGCATATAGTAGAAGATTAAAAGATTTCAATAAAATAAGAATAATACCATCTAACGATCGATTACGACATATAAATAAGCTAAGAACAGCGCCATCTAAGAATTAGATTTATAGTTATTAAGCATAATTATCTGACACTCGTCACGACACAATGGCAGGTCGTGTTTCAAGTCATGTGACACACAGACTACAAATCGCGACTTTAGATTTTTAGATATTAAGATTAAGCTTTATATATTATAGATAATCGTGCGATTTTAAGACTCGAAATCAGAATTTCTTATTTATTATGATGTGAATTTATGTATTTGTGCAATTTCTTGTCTTATTTTTCATTACATTAGCATTACAGAGTTTAAAAAGACATTACTGTTGAAATAAAATATTGAAATATATTCGAATACTTTTGTATTTTCTAACCACATAATGAAACTGTTAAAGAATCCGCCGAGCCGTATAAAGCATAGAGGCCAAAAATCACAGACTAAAAAGGTTGATCGACAGATTAGAAAAAAATATTAAAAATGAACGAAAATTTATTTTTATAAACATCATTTGAAGCATTTCCATCAAATCTTCGACCGAATTCAAGTGAAGTTTATCAAGTTTCTTAATCGCCTTTGTAGTTATAAAGATTTATTTTTTTTATAATGCTGAAATAAACAAATCTGAGTTACTTAAGAAAAATAGGTGTGGCCTGAAATTTATAAAAAAAAAAATGAATAAAAATCAAAATACACTCTTGTAATATTAAACTCCAATAAGCCTATTGAAGTCGATTTGACTTAAGAAATTACAAAAGCACGAGTCCTTTTAATAAACTACTTTTGGATTCTGTTAGCTTTATTAATACGCGAGCTATTTTCCCGCGACTTTCTCTCTCTTCTATGAATTAGCCAACATCAAGTTTCAGGTTGCAATGGTGTGTTAATTATTTGTTCCTTCTTGACTCAGCTTGTTATCCATTACTCTTCCCGCGACTTCGTACGCGTAAATTAAAGGCTATGTCAACCCCGTATGACGTAGCTGCCCATAGGTGAAAGTATTTTTAAAATCGGTCCCGTATTTCGGAGCCTATTCAATGCAAATAAACAATCACATCTTTCCTTTTTATAATAGTAGTATAGATTACAAAATGTTATGCATAATCTTCAAGGTTGGGGGCAATAGGGATGATGACTAATTTTTGTTTGTTTGTCCGTCAGGTAGAGTGTTGAAAAATATTAAACACGTATTTTTTTATTTTTTTCGTAATCATAAAATTACTTGCGTTACATGGAGTTGAAATTTCGCATGACGTCACGTTAGGGTACGTTTTCTACTCAACTGTGACGTAGCGAGCCCCCACTCCTCAACTTTAATGCCTGTTATCTAAGCTATTTCTTGTTAAATTGAAGTAAAAAAAATACGTATCTAATATTTTTCTATTATCTGACAGACGGACTAAATAGAATTGCATTTTTTTTACCCAGTCATCATCCCTATTATGGCGTAAAGACAAGATCGTCGTTGTCTATCTCACCGCGCCCGGCAATGAGATAGATACGAAGGGCGTTCAATGTATTCTCGGTATCGGTAGGTATGATTTGCCAATGATGCGGCTAATTTAATATTTTTTACAGAAAATGATACAATTTGAGAGTAATAGCAAGTTTCATGTAATTGTGACCATTGGTTTTCGAGTAATAAATAATAAATCTCGACTGTATTAATCGATGCGACAATGATTAAGATAATTGAGCAGCGTGCACCTATTAAAGTCAATCTTGGAACTCTTATAGATTCGTCAACGACATGTCTGTCCGTCTGTGCGTCCGCCAGTAACAGCCGCTTTATTCCGAAACTATTAGCATAGATAATAGTTAGTAGGTACCTATTTTGGTCTGTTTTGTGGTTAGCCTTAGGACCTAAGTAGATGCATTCTATTAAACACTAAGAACTTTTCGATTCCTTATTTTAAAAAAAATATTAGGATATTTTATTGTTGTACTTTAAAACATATGGAAATACATTAATAATAATATAATATTTTTAGTGGCCTCCATCGAGTAATAAACAAAAGGCGATCGTAAAATGTAGGCGATGGTCAAAATCGAACTTATAACTGACCCGCGACCTCGCGATCGTGTTCGGTAGCGTGACGTCACACGATGAGGTACCACGTGAAGCGAAATATTCTAGTGAGCGCAACTTCAAGTCCCATAACTTTTTTATTTATGTCAATATTTAAGAATTTTTGATTAAGCTTATTCTTTCATGTTAAATAGAAAAAAAATAGTGAGCTTGTTATTGCAGCATAAACCTCTTCCATAGTAATTTTAATTGATGATATGGAGGAGTCTTTCCTACGAATGGTTACGCTATTACATTCTGATTCACAATGAACAGGCTCATTTCTCGCTGGTGTTGGTGAATCGTCTCCTCCTTTACGTAATGCGCCGTGACAATCCGGGCAAACAAACTTTCTCTTCTCGAATAGGGATGATGACTGGGTAAAAAAAATGCAATTCTATTTAGTCCGTCAGTCAGATAATAGAAAAATATTAGATACGTATTTTTTTTACTTCAATTCAACAAGAAATAGCTTAGATAACAGGCATTATAGTTGAGGAGTGGGGGCTCGCTACGTCACAGTTGAGTAGAAAACGTACCCTAACGTGACGTCATGCGAAATTTCAACTCCATGTAAAGTCGTAATTTTATGATTACGAAAAAAATAAAAAAATACGTGTTTAATATTTTTTAACACTCTACCTGACGGACAAACAAACAAAAATTAGTCATCATCTCTATTCCTTTAGTTTCGATTTTTTTTATCTGCAATTTTTACGCAAGAGTAACAATAGATATCCTTGCATTTAGGACACTTCAAAACTGATTGTTTCTCTCTTACGCTTTCTCCACAACCCGATGAGCACATCCCTTTCCTCTCCACAATTTTCTCCTCTTCCCGGTCGAACCTATTCTCATTCTCTCAGGGATAAATTTATACCCTCTTGTCGTACCGCTATTATTATTCCTCAATATCCTCGGTCGATATAAAAATAATAAAAAAAATGAGTTTAAGTGACAAAATTGTCGACTATATGGCAAGTTCTCAATAATTCCTGGCTCATCGGTGTCAATATTGTGCTCCAAAGTTAAATTTCATTGTCAAGCGTTCGAATAACTTTGTTGTATACACCTGTATCCACGTTATCCCACGTAAAAGTCATAATTTTACTGTTATTTACAAGGTTCACAGCACATTAGAGTTCACAATATAGAATGATTTGGCATAAAACTTTATTTATAAATTATAACTCGGGAGCAACAACAAATAAGTGTATCACTTAGTACCGTTGGTGAATATGTATTACAAATTCGTCACAGAAAATATCTTTGGATGCCTTCGACATTGGCGAAATATACGATTGTTATATTTCAAAGTAAAATAAATGCGCATTCTCATATACAATTTTTTACAGTAAGCTAGAGGAAAACACTGACAAGGCATTGGTAAAGTTAGAGTCTGAACCTCGTTTAAGAGACTTTTTAAGATTTCACAATTCAAGTAGTTACTCTTGAAAAAGTTACAGAATCTTTCTTCCATTGAACTGATAAATTGCACAAAACTGTCTGGTGGTATGGTTAATAAAGTTTTGGTGTCATCTTCGCAATATTCTTTATAGCGGGTAAATGTACTACCCTGTACAATGTTTTTTGCATTTTCTCCATCTCCTTTTGTATAATCCATTAGCTCATTACATTCCTTGTGGTAATCTAAGCATTTCCTTAACAAATATCCACTGACGTAAACTAATGCATTTTGTTCCGGTAAGTCAAGTGTATTATAATCAGTAGTTGATATTAGATTAATTTTAGCACAAGTTTCATTTTCTTCACTGTTGACTACCATTTTAGAAGTGGTTTCTGGATTACTTACATCATTAGCTAAATTACAATTTTCACACCTGAGTAAACAATTTGTTAAATCTTCTGTGCAATTAGCGCTTTTGGAAGACTTTAAAATATTTATGAGAAATCTTTTTCTGAATGCCGAAACCAGCTGCCAGGATGTTGGTTCCGTGGAATTTCTATGTTTTGCCTTAAGTTGACCAAAAAAGTTTTCTAAACAGTCCTGATTTAATCGTCTGGTCGGTACAGACGATAATCCCTCAATTCTTAAATCCTCGAACAACATTAATAAAGATTTTAAGGTTATTTGAAAACCTTCAATGAACTTAACTTTAGATGTTACATCTTGGCCATTTTTCGGGTTAATTAATCTCAACGACGCAAAGAATTTTAACA